AGTTTTCACTTCAACGGTGAGAACGAGAACTGAAAGTGGCGCGGAAAACCCTGCCGAGGACCGGGCGTCAGGTTTCACGTGCGCGATAAGAAGGAGAACTGAAAATGACACGAAAAACCCTGCAGAGGACCGGGCGTCAGTTTTCACTTCCACAGTGAGAAAGGAGAAATGAAAGTGGCGCGAAAAACCCTGCCGAGGACCGGACGTCAGTTTTCACTTCCGCATTGAGAAGGAGAACTGAAAGTGACATGAAAAACCCCTGCAGAGTACCTGGCGTCCGTTTGGTTTCACTTTCGTGTTGAGAAGAGAACCGAAAACCGCGCTAAAAAAGTGGCAGAGTACGGGGCCTACGGTTCAATTCGATGGTAAATGAAGAACTTTTCATGGAAGATGAAGAATCTGGCTAAAAGAAAAGAAAAGAACATTTTTTGTTTTTGACACGATGAAGAACATTATATTTGAAACATGAAGAACATTTTTTTTATATGAAAACATGAAGAATTTTTTTTTTGGAAGATGAAGAGCATTTTTTTTTGGTAAGAAAGACGAAGAAGAGAAAACGGCGGGGAAACCATTGGACAGACACGGCACGATGATGAGGCGAGCGTTACAAACAGATTGGTCGCGGACGGTTCGGCCCGCGCGCTGCACCGCGACACGTACCGGCGTCGCCACCACACCGCGCACATGCCGCGCCTTCTCGCCGCGCTCCACCTGTCTCGCCGTCCCGTCAGGTTTCAAGAGCCGCTCCGCTCCTCCCATATGCCTTGGCCCCTTGTGTTCTCTCTCTTGACTTTTGGCAGTACAACTGGGCGAGCGAGGGAGGCAAGGCTTTGCGAAAGCGCTCAGTTTCTCCCAGTCTCCGACTTCGAGATCTCGCGAGAGAGAGAGAGGGGAGGCAGGAGGACAGCGGGTCAGGAGGCCAAAGGGGGCGTGGGATCCTACTGTGGAGCCAGCCAGTGTGGCGGATTGGGGGGAGGCTACGTGCATGGCCACCGGCAGCAGCAAGTGGTGGCAAGGGCCAATGGACTTCCCGCCGCAGCCGCAGCCGCAGCCGCTGCAGATGCAGCAGCATCATCAGCACCAGCACCAGCAGCTGCAGCTGCCGGCGGTGACCATGCCGGCGCCGACGCCGGCCCCAGCGGTGGCCGCCCCGGCCGCCTCGCCGGAGAGCAAGCAGCAACAGGGCCAGGGCCAGGGCGAGGGGCAGATGGGCGCGGCGGCGGGGGCCATCGTGCCACTGCGGAGGCCGCGGGGCCGGCCGATGGGGTCCAAGAACAAGCCCAAGCCGCCGATAATCATCACGCGCGACAGCCCCGACGCGCTCCACTCGCACATCCTGGAGGTGGCCCCCGGCGCCGACGTCGCGGCGTGCGTGGCCGAGTACGCGCGCCGCCGCGGCCGGGGCGTCTGCGTGCTGGGCGCGTCCGGCTCCGTCGTGGACGTCGTCGTGCGCGGCGCGGCCTCGGCGGCGCCGCTCCCGGGGCGCTTCGAGCTCCTCTCCATGACCGGCACCGTGCTCCCGCCCCCGGCGCCGTCCGAGGCGTCCGGCCTCGCGGTCATGCTCTCCGCCGGGCAGGGCCAGGTCCTCGGGGGGTGCGTCGTGGGGCCGCTCGTCGCCGCCGGGCCAGTCACCCTCTTCGCCGCCACCTTCGCCAACGCCGTCTACGAGCGCCTGCCCCTCCAGGACGGCGCCGACGCCGACGTCAAGCCCGACCTCTCCACCGCCCCCGACGCCTCGGTCCCGCAAGAAGTGCAAGCGCAGCAGCCACTGGCGATCTCCCAGGCCATGGCCATGGGCGCGGGCTACCCTGACCACCGCTCACCTCAGTACCTGTGGGGAGGCCACCAGGGAGGCGGCATCTGATGGATCGATCGTTAACTCTTTTCTTGGTGTTCTTGCTCCTAACATCCATCCTCTAGACAAAAGTAGGTTTTGGCAAGTTGATTCATTCATGGAGTGCTCTTCTTGGGCTCTCATTGTGATTTTGTTGTGCAAGATCAACAGAATATGGCGACGAAGCACACATCAGGCGGTCGAGCCACATTTTGCGTGGTTAATTGGAGGTCAGTGTTCTAGTAGTTTTACAGCTTCTCATGCTGAGTCAGTGCGGAACTGTTAGTGTATTTGCTAGCAATTGCAAACATGTGAAATGTGATTAATGACTGGGAAAATTGGAAATTTGTTGTTAATGACTGGGGAAATTGGAAATCTTTTGTTACTTGAGAAGTGCTCGCCTCACTATTCACTTTCCATTTGAGATGTTTTCTTATGCTTGGTGCCAGTGTACAAAACCTCCGCCTGTCCCATCAAATTTAGTAGTACAGTACGCCGTATGAAATCCAATGGTCAATGTTCAGTCCTAGTACTGCATGTGTCCGTTCGAGAAGGAAAGAAACAAAACAGCAAAACACATGTTGCGTCATGTACTACTGTATCTATATCTATCTCATAGACATAGACAGGGCTAATTAAATCTAGGAACCATAGGGATATAGCGACATAGTAGAAGATCTGAAGAAAACACCAAGGCCTCTTTGGTTCACATGATTCTAAAAGCGCAGAAATTAGATAGAAATGCATGCGTAAAACAGAAGATTAGAAAACGTAGGAATTTTGAAGGCTTGGCTGTTTGGCTCATGGGAATGGAAAAAACACAGGAATTCTTAAAGTTAAACCATAAGGAAATATGTAATTAGCATGTTCTTAAGCCATGAAGGATCTCAGTCTCGTTCTTCGTGTGGAAGAATTTGGACAAGAGGTTCAAGTGGATTGTAAAATTTCTGTGTTCTCTCTCTCTCTCTCTCTCTCTCTCTCTCTCTCTCTCTCTTCCTTTGCCACATTCCTTTGAACCAAAAGCTTGGTGCCTCTTTGATTCACAACCTTCTAAAAACACGGAACAGGAAAACATAGGGTTCGAATGCCATGGTCATCTCAATCCTACAGGATTTTGGGTTGTTTGATTGCATCATAGGCAAAACAAAGGATTCTTTCAAAGAGGTTGGCGTGGATGCTAAGAAATTTATGGGAAGTAGTACAAAGAAATCCTTAGGAAAAATTCCTATATGATTCAACCCTGTGAATAAACAAACCTACATTGGAAAAAAATCCTAAGGATTCTAGTCCTGCAAAATTTCTATGAAAATCCTTTGAATCAAACGAGCCTTTAGTAATGCCACCATAGGAAAATTTCCTACTCGTTATACGAATGTGCTTCTTCTACTTTTCCTTTGAACCAAAGGAGGTCTGAACTATTTGTTGTAGGACGGATTGCAGAAGAAATAATGGAAATTTGTTTCGACTTTCAATTTACCGTGAGAAAAAGGGATCACAGTTGGAGAAAGTATCCGGTGGAAACAAGTTTCGATCCACTGTTGAAAACCAAGTGAAAATCATGTTTCAAAATTTCTGGAAAAAAATACAGTACGATGGAGAGGTGGCATTCTAAAAAAAATGTGAAATTTTATGTTTCAAATTCAATTCCACATGGGAGCTAGCTCCCACTTGAAATTGTATTTTCATTTTTTTGAAACATTTTCACTTGATTCGTTTACTAATTTCCACCGATTTTTTTTGTTTCCATGGGATATTCTCTCCACAACAGGGCCTATTTGATTGTTGCGATTTTCAAAACATATTGGAAATATGTCGCATTGGAATGTCATGTTCTATTCAATCCAATATGATCAGAAAATTAGATGAAGTTGCAACCAAAGAGTGTTTGTCACTACATGAAGAAGAAATGAATTGTAACAAGAGGTTTTAGTGGATGGATTTTTTTCCAAAATAGGGCAAATGAATCTTCCAACAAATCCTAACTGTCTCATTATCGTGAATCGAATGACATAAAAAACATAAAGATTCAACCCCTTTAAAATTTGCGTGAGGGGCCTCCTTGATTCACAGGATTCTAAAAAAGAAGGGAATAGAAGAAATATAATATGTAAGAATGTACGCCTAAACCTAAGGATTGGAAACAGGTAAAATTTGACATAAGTTATTTGAATGACACAAATTGCATAATACATGAATCAAACTAGTGAAATTCTAACACTCACTAGATGGGTCGCATTGTTGCCATAGACAGTTTGCTTTGCCTCAATCCCATGCTTAGGAGTAAAAAAAAGTGAGGCCGCAGCGGATATTAAATGTTCCATGTCTTTCCCTTGAAGGCTCATTCACATGAACCAAAGGATGTTAGTGACCAAATCCATAGGAATTCCTAAATCCTAAAGCATAATCCTTTGTTTTAAAGAGGCTTGAAATTGTAATGTAGTTTGAGCAATTTCATAAATTATCTAACTCCCATTTCCTGATTGGATGCTTAAATAATGTTATAAACTAACAATCTGTCGTACAAATATCTTAACTGACTGGCTCAATTATCGAAAAAGAGATAGAGAATATATAATTTTACTCTCTCTCACACACACACGCATAAACACACACCTCAGAGGTTATGCAACAATTGTTTATTTATGCTTGATGTAGCAAACAACCTCTTAAGGCTATCTCCATAATTGTGAGATGATGGCCTCAAGAGGATGAGGGTGTCATCGTTTTTTTGTTTGTTTGCGGATGAGGGTGCATCGGTGTTGAGGCCATTAAACTTTGTAGCGGACTTAGTGATAACGATATTGTTTGCATATGTTGTAATTGCTCTCACCTCTTCACTTTTGGAGTAGAAGCCGCGTGTCAGGGGCGGAGCCAGGCCAGCAGCGCGCCCCGGGCCATCTTCAAGAAATGCCCCTGGATTTGAGTGTCACGTCTCTGGTAACACTATAGTTACCAGATGAGTTGGACCTCACGCCTTGGGCCCAGGCCCTGGGGGTCTGGGTCCTGTCTCCGCCCCTGCCGCGCATGACGAGCCGACAAGTGGGGTGTTGTTCACATGTGTTAGCGGCGTGCCCTCCCTAGGGCAAGAGAATATCCGACGGAAATCAAGTTTGAGTCAAAATTCTGAAACATGACTATCACTTGGTTTTCACTAAGGCTGTGTTTGGATGATGCCTAGAGCTGCCCCACACACGTGGCATTCCAAATAAAAGGTGCCATTGGTTGCCGCCACAGTCCTACTACACGCCATGATATCAGGCCACACGTTTCTCCCGTAGAGTGTGGCGGCCAATTCGTTCGCCTGAGTGAAGCAGTGGCGGCTTCAGGAATTTGCTTCTGGGTATTCATGCATATTCATTTTGCCAAATCATTGTTGTTTTTAGAAAATTGTCATTGTTTTGCCAAAATCAACACTGTTTTGTAAAAATCATGGGTATCCACATGAAGACCCAAGAATACCCCTAGCGCCGCCCCTGGAGTGAAGTGCCGCGGTTTAGCCCTAAAACTGTGTGTCCACGGGGATACTTTCTGTTTTAGGGCTTTAAAGTGCGAAACTAGGTAAATTGTGTCTAAAATGTTTTAAATCTGATAAAACTTGTCACATGCTGCGGGTAAGGAACGGAGTTCTCTGTTTGGAAAGAAACGGTTCTACTTCTACGTGGTACATGATTCTCGTTCTGCATTGTCCATTCGACACTTGCACTCGGACTAGTAGTACCATTGGCCAGCGGTGTTTGTTTTTCTTTGACCACGATCGATGTTCTTCCTAGGCTGGAAACGGAAGCAGCAAAGTTGGATAGAGAGCAGCATCATTGCTCCGACAAAGCACCGTAGCCTGGATGTTTTGTAAAGGAAGAACCGGCCTGCCATTGTAAATTCCAAAGGTTAGGCTTTTGCATGTGCATCAGTGCATCGAACCGCGCACCCTCCCTCTCCTCCTCGGTTCTTGCCCCATTTTCCACTTTTGTTGACGCAGAAAGGGTCGCCACCCCCAAGCTGCCACTGTGGAGATCACTCCTCCCTGGCCATTGTGTGTGTGTGTGTGAGAGAGAGAGGGAAGAGATGCTTGTGACTTTGTCACAGTGCATGCAGAGTCTAAAGCAAGGGCAGACTTGATCAAGATCTAACCACCAAAAAGCCTCTTAGTATGTGCACTGATGGAAAGAAAAGGCCTACTCCTACTATAGTAGGTTTGATTTGAGTTCAAGAGTGTTTTAGAGGGTGTAAAGTGTAAAGAGGGCAAAGGAGGCCGGCCAAAGAAGCCGCTGGTGGGTCAAACCACAGGGAAAGGAACCAAGTGCTGTACCCTCGGCGCAAGAAAGGAAGCCTGCAGCAGCAGCAGCGGCTCCGGTGTCTGTTTTTGTTTTCTCCTTTCGTGTCCTCCTTTGGCCTTTACCAAAGGGATCTTCTTCGGAACAGTAGTGTAGGCGGACTCGGCTCCCCTGACGTACTGCAGGGTGCAGTTGGGTCACTGACAGGTGGGCCAACTTGCTTTCGGGCCCACCTGTCAGTGGCCCAACTGCACCCTGCAGTACGTCAGAGGAGCCTCGTCGGCACGCATGCAGCAGGAGAGAGAGAGAGAGAGAGGAGTGCCCATGTATCCATGAGATTTGGTCCTGCAAGGGAGGGGCCCAGATTGACCGCATGGTTCCGCAGCTTTGCCTCTGCCTCACCCTTCCATCGATCCATGGGACCGGCATCTCGCCGCCTCGGCAAAATAGACAAAAATAACTCAAAGGCGAAAGAAATTTGAATAATAGATTATCGGCCAAACTATTTCACGCGGCTAAACCTTTCGGGTAGCGTCCAATGCGTGGGCACTATACTACATGGCGTAGCACCCGTCTGACAGGCGCTATACGCCTTGTCCGCATGGCTCCCCTAGGGCCAGGCCAGGCCCCACCCTGGTTAAGTAGCGCCCAACCCGTAGGCGCTATACTGTGGTGGATAGCACTTTCTCGCTATGCACCTGTTATGGTTAAGGTGCGACGGTTGGCTGACGGCCCGACCTAGTCATCGTTCTGCATTTT